TAGCATTCAAAAAGCCTTAAAAATTGGGTCAAGTTGGGCTGGTCATGACCCAACCCATTTTTCGCTCATTTCATCCCAAGTAACTTCTGGGCTAATTTCAGCCCAACCATTTATTGACTCAACCCATTTTGATCCACCCAAATCCATTCCACCGTGCATATTTGATACCCCTAGCTAAAACAAGAAAATATATCATGTTTGCACATCAGCTCATTGTAACTGGAACTACATAATACCACATTAAATTTCTCTTGCAATTTTTGGAAGCCCAGCCTTCAGACTTGAAACTTCATTCTAGCATGATGCAACATGATTCTCCACACAATAGACGAAAAACAAAACAAAAAAAGGAGAAATCTGGAAACAACCAGATCATTAAGAAAATAATTGGCCCATTGCAGGTGCAGTAGTTAAACTACATAACACCACACTAAATAATCCTGCAAATTTGGAAGACCAGCCTTCCGACTTGGACTCCTTATTGTTCTAATGCTATGCAACAATATTGGCCAGAATGAGAAGTGCATTCAGTTCATTTAAGGTACACTAACTATCAATGGCACTGCACTCAAGTGTAGATAATTCATAGACTAGAAAAGTGGATACCCACAAAGGAAATAGAGTAATACATTCTTAAAATCAACAATCATATAGATAGACTTCGTAAGTTAATCAACCCGTTAATGACGTTTGCCACCATTTGGTGCATATACTGCATTTTCATATCACTTTATTATTTGTAGGGATAAATTACAGTTTCAAATAGACATAATATTGAGATTTTCCACCATCTAAAGCACAAAACAATAGAAATCATGAAATGCTTGCAATGAAGCAACAAGTGAAATAAAGTGAATCCTGAAAAGAAAGAGAGAGAGGGATCTCATGAAATTTACATGCAAGGAGGAGGGCCTTCACCCTCTGGTTCCAATTTTCGCCATTCATATGGTTTTGCAGCAGTGTCCAAAGCCCAAACATCTGCTAGAGGTCGTTTTCCTGAAAACAATGGACCATGTTATGATTTTCTGACTGATATCATTGCTTACAATGGTGAAGCCTCTTTATTACTAACCATCATTTCCACCAATTGCCATGAGATATCTTTGCCCTACCAAAGCCATGACATGTCCATAACGAGGCCCTGGACCAGGTCCTTGGACCACAACCCTAAAATGACAAAAATTATTTCAGTAGTTGTAATACAAGTATGTCAGTATTTAAATACATTTTCACTAGTCAACAGCATACAAGTTCAATGACAACTACAGTTATTTCAAGTCATAACCTGTGCCATCTTGGTCGATGTTGTTGTGTAAGGTCCAGAACGTGAAGATCCTCAGCTGACAAACCAGCTGGACCAATTCCACCCTGGGATGGATCAAAATAGGCATCTTAAACATGATGAGGTAGATGATCAAGCACAAGGAAAACAACATGATGTCAGTATACAAACCTGAATGACAACCATAGTTCCAACAGCTGTAGCAACATGAGCTGCCCTCGGCGTCGGTGGCTCTCCAATTGGTGTGATCCTATGATTTCATCAAGAAACAGAACCACATTTCAACCTTTCTGTGAAAAGCACAAAACTGAATTTAGCAGATCACGGACGGACTCACAATCAAGACTTACCTAGACCATTTATTTGTCAGAACATCATAAGAGTGCACATCAGCAGTAGCCCCTGCTAAGCCTGAAATCAGATGGATAGCTAAATTGTTAGTTTAACTTAAAAATGTCCCTATTTCAGTTTTACTATCAATCAAGGCATGCTTCTCTACTTAAGAGGAATGACAAACCCCCTCTATCAACTGATTATTCTAGATTAACCAGATTTCACTCTTTATATGGTAAACAGAACTAGTTCCAGAGAAGCCTCCTCTTCTTGTGTTCCATGAAGGTTCTTCGAGATAACAACCAATAAGGGTGCATGTGTTTGGTATGGCCGAAATTCTCTTCTAGAAATGCAGGGAAAATGTTCTTTGATTAAATCATTTTCAATTCTTAGGTTACTTTGAATCGTAAAAATTGATCTCTCCAATAAACTGTTGTTTATGAACAGAAGTCACTTCTTCTACAAATATCCCAACTCTTACCCATATGAAATGTTTCAGTCAACAACAAGACACCGTCATCAACCTTTAATAATCAAAGATATTATTAAAACACTATAGTTGCATTGTATCAACCTTTGTTGATAAGATAACGCCAAAACACTATCCTTAAACCTTGATTTGTTTCATGCACAATTATTTTGATCCAAAAACTGAAAAACAATCCAAAAAGGATTTCCATTTCATATTTCCTAAACGTTGTCCGTGGAAAACTCACTTATGTATACTATATATATGTAAGAAACGTGCACATAATGCATCTACAGCCTCAAATGGGAAACACAGTAAGTTGTGACAACAGACTTAAATGAGCTTGCGCAAATTCTGAAACTTGACTCTCAAAGCAACAACACACATTAATATTTAACTTTTTAATAGAATACCATAAAACATCTATAATTTTGTGAAGGGATTCTCTGGCCAAGCTGAATATGCAAGGTCAATACAAAACAAAAGCATTAGTAAGCAATTCAATCAAAGAGAAAGAGTAGAGGTTCACTTAGCAAATGGAGACAATCTATGTTTACTTCCTACTTAACCTACTAAGATAAAGAGAATGTTAAATGGTGTGAGCATCTCATCTAAAAGTCTCAATCAACTCAAAAACACCAGCATCTCAAATTCAATAAGGAAACAAGAAAATCCAGTATTCAATGAGGGAACTTACGAATTCCAGCACCTCCAGGAGAAGAAGGAGCTGCTGCAGCAGCAGAATTCCCCTCAAGCGCAGTAGCACCACCAAAGAGAATCAACCTAGGACCAATATAGTTCGGACTTCCCTCCTCTCCAACAGCTGGAACCGCTGTTAATGTATGTCCACACCTCGGCCCGGGACCATCTTCCTTCTTCTCTATAACAGACTGCACCGCCGTATAAGTCGGAGCACACCTCGGCCCAGCCACCGTAGTAGCAGTAGGAGTCTCAACCGGAGCCGATTCTCCGGCGGTTGATGACTTGTTCACCAATGTTGGGCCGTTATTCTGAACCGTCGGATCCTGATCGGCTTCAGGCGCCATTGAAGAATCTAAGTCCATATCTGAAAATTCAATTCGATACGATTGCAATTAGAAACCCTAATTTCAGATCCTCCGATTCAAATGCAGGGATTTTCCGATAAATTCTCTCTCTCTACCAATACATACACTTTCTCTCTCTAAAAATCTCTCTCTCTGTCAAAACTCTATATCTTTCTCTCTCTGCCAATACATATACTTTCTCTCTCTACAGCTCTCTCTCTATATATATACCAATACATACACTTTCTCTCTCCAAAACACTCTCTCTCTACTGAGAATCCGATGATTATTTGATGAAATAACGGCGCTGTCTATTTAAGGGGTTGTTTGGTTTACAAACAAGTTACATAATTCAAATTTGGTTCATTTCATTGAATTAAATGCCATAATATAGTAGAAATAAATATTTACACAATCTTATTGGTTCTTAAATTAAAAAATAAATAAAATATATTCTTTATAAAATAAAAATTAAGGAATATGTAACATGGAACAAGGGAGTATAAAATATGTTTATTTAAATTTATATATATATATTAATTTTGGCTTTTAAAAAATTGAGGAAAAAACCTTTTAAAATAGGGTAAAAGTGTAATTTACTTATTTTATTTGTAAATTCTAATTCTACATAAATGTGATAAAAATAATACATGATTGTTAATCTTAGGGAAAAGGATCTGAAAAATACTTCAACTTTTGGCCAAAATTGTTGTTACGATACCAAATTTTATGGAGGGCCTTTTACCCCTTGAACTATTTAATAGTGTATTTTAAAGGTATATATGTGATCACATGGACACATACTATTTAAAATGATGAAATATTTATGATGTCCACGTAGGCATATATATACCTTTAAAATACACTATTAAATAGTACATGGGGTAAAAGATATTTTCCAAAATTTGGTATCGTAATAGCACTTTCAACCAAATTTGAAGTATTTTTCAGACTATTATCCCTTAATCTTATAATTAGAAATTTTAGCAAATGTGAATAAAATAATTGTATATCTTATTTCAGAATTATAATCTTTCATCGGGGTATCAAATGGTTTTTATGCATTATGTTGGTGTCCTTTTAGTTTTTTTTTTAATTCTATTTTAATACATTAGTGTTCAGGCTTATTAAATTCGTTTTACCTTATTTATTGTGTAATTATTGTCTTTCATCAATAGTCATTGTGTAACTCTACTAACTACAATAGTCAATAACTATTAAAGCATGTAATTGCACATTGGTGTTTTTTTTTCCTTTAAAATTTAATGCATAATCGACCACTTAATTTTAGGCAAATTTCTTTTACATATCATAATATCATAAGAAACGTTTTACACATCGGTCATTATAGTTCAACTATGTTTTAATATAATTTACTTTAGTTACGTAATACTGACGTGTTTTACATACAAGAAATTTTAAAAAATAAAAAATTACGTAAATAATAAAGTTTTTTTTTTTTTTGAAAAACTTCTCTTAATTAATGTTCTCTCTTATCTCCCTTTATTTTTAAAATATTATTAAAAATTAATTTAATAAAATTTGTCCCTTATAAAATAAAAATTAAAGAATGTGTCAAATAAACATGAAACAAGATATATATATATATATATATATATATATATGTATATAGGTGTAATTTACTTATTTTATTATTTTAGAATTCTAATTCTATAGAAATCTTTTATACATTGATCATAATTGATCAAGTATGTTTAATGCTATAATTTACTTTAGTTGCGTGATATTGGCGTATTAAAAGTAAATAGTAGGAAAAAAGGTCTGAAATATATCCGAACTTTGACCGAAATTGTTGTTACGATATCAAACAATGGTCTGAAAAATACTTCAACTGTGGCCGAAATTGTTGTTACGATACCAAACTTTATGAAGGACCTTTTATTCCCTGCACTATTTAATAGTGTATTTTAAAGGTATATATGTGCCCACGTGGATACATTACTATTTATAATGATGCAATTTTTATGATGTCTACGTGGGCACATATATACCTTTAAAATACACTATTAAATAGTGCAGGGAATAAAAGGTCCTTCATAAAGTTTGGTATCGTAACAACAATTTCGGCCACAGTTGAAGTATTTTTCAGACCATTTTCCCTAAATAGTAAATTTTAAGAAAATCTTCCCCAAGTCATTAATTAGTTGACTCTTTCATCCCCAAATATCAAATGAATTTTCTTCTTTGTTGTTGACACCCAATTTTGACCCTCCACAATATAAAATTAATTTTTGAGCTTCTTCAATTTCAAAACGATTTTAAAATAATTAGTTTTATAGAATTTCCAAAAATAATAGTATAGTTTGCAAGATTTTTTAAAATAGTTTTGTCACTTTTCATAATTTTTAGATGATATGTATGTTTTACATAATTATGTATATGATTAGTATATCTTATGATTATTCAAAAATCGTCTAAAAAAAAAAAGATCTTATATTTTAAATATTAGGAATGGTTATAATTTTGAATTAATGAGTTTTACGAAATTCAAAATATTTTCAAGTTATTTTTAAAGTAATTTTATCATTTTTAATAATAAGTATGTATATTTTTGCAATCACGCTATTTTATAAATATTTGAAAATTATCACAAAAGATTTTACATTTTAGTTAAATATTCTATTAATTTACTTTAAGTTATAGTTATAATTTCGAGTTAATTAGTTTTATAATTGAATTAATTAGTTTATAATTAAGTTAATTATTTTTTTTTCCGTTAAGATTAAGAAGCTCATTAATTAATTTATATTAACTCATCTTGTTTGAATTTTAGCCGAATTCACCAATTAAATTATATTCGGCTATAATTGAAATCCATTTGACTATTATTTAATAACAATTTTAGTCAATTGCTTACCCAATTCAATAGGCCAATTTTGGGCCATTTCCAATCCCATTTCCCAGCCCAACAATACACAGCAATACCATACAGCAACCACATTCCAGCCCACCAAAAGAAAGCCAATTATAATACATACCCAATTCTCACAACAACAAAGACATACGTACAGCAGTCCCAAATATAGCAAACGAAATGACGCCTTCTCCTTCATCGCTAGAACCTAGAAGCAATCCGACCCGACCCCACTTCTTCTTCTTCCAGACGCAATTCGGAAATCCCAACAAATCCGGAAGTCTCGTCCAACTACCCTGCAGCGCCCATACTCACCCCGTCTCCTCATTCTCTTTTGTAGAAAGCCCCATCCTTTCTACTGTTTTCGGGAAAAAGGGGATTTGAAATTCAAATTTTAATCTGTTTCCCCTCTAATCGAATTGATTTTCTCCTATAAAGATCCATCTTTGCTTTCGGTTTAGGGGGAATTTTTTTGGGAGTTGGAAATTTTCCTTACTAAGGGTATCAAAAAAGAAAATTAAATAAATACCTAATACCTATTAAATACAGTTCAAGAAAAACAGGGGAGGGATCAGTTTTAGTGTTTTGGAGCTGATATTCTTGCAGCTATTGTTCGTGTTCGGATTTCGTGTGGTGAAAGACCGTTCTGCTCGTTGCTGTCCTAGTTGCTGCCCAGAGAAAGGTAAACGCTCCTCTCTCGATAACATTTTTTTTTATCTTTTTTCCTAGTTCAATGTGACGTTTTCGATATCGGAAAGTCTTTATTCTATGGTTGTTTGTCATTAGATGCTACTTGGTTGGTGATAAAAATGTGATACATATGTTCTTGGGGGATGTTATGTGTTGAGAAATACATATCTTGTACATATATTCTTGTATATTCAGTTTCCATATTAGTAGATCGAATCCCATTAATTGGGGATCACGATTTCTTACCTAAAGCTAGGCTAGATTGATTTGTATTAAGCTGTATATATATCGGATTGTGAATAAAGAAAATTACTTCAGCAAAATATATTGTTTTCTCTTCTTTTCCAAGATGGTATCAGAGCTTGATCAATCCAAAAGTCCAAACACTAGCAATAAGAGTAACGATATGAATTCATCAAATCCATATTTTCTTCAACATTCAGACCATCCCAACCTCATGCTTGTTCCAATCAAGTTGAATGGGATCAATTATCCATCCTGGAGCAAATCAATGATACATGCTCTCACAGCCAAAAACAAACTATCGTTTATTGATGGATCAATTGAACCGCCATCGGAAATAGATAAGCCAACAGAGTATGCGTTGTGGAATCAATGCAATAGTATGATTTTATCATGGCTTGCTCACTCGGTGGAACCGGATCTAGCTAAAGGAGTCATCCATGCCAAGACGGCTCACCAAGTATGGCAAGATCTTAAAGATCAATTTTCTCAAAAGAATGCACCAGCAATATATCAGATTCAAAAATCATTGGCTTCACTCTCACAAGGTAACATGAACATTTCTTCCTATTTCACAAAACTCAAAGGTCTTTGGGATGAGTTAGATACATTTCGAACATTTCCCACTTGCAATCAAATTAAAGCACACACCGATCAAATTGAAGAAGACCGTGTAATGCAATTTCTAATGGGTCTTAATGATATCTATAATGTTGTTCGATCTAATATTCTCATGATGTCTCCCCTACCTAATGTACGCCAAGCATATTCACTTGTTATTCAAGAAGAAACACAGAGACAAATGACGTCGGAATCAACAGAAAGTTTCTCTATTGCGGCTGCAGTTCAAAGGCGTACCAATAGTTTTTTCAATAAATCCAGGATAAGCATTGTGAGCATTGCAATCGAGAAGGACACACAATTGAGAATTGCCGCACTCTGAAATTTCATTGCAAGCATTGTAATAGAAAAGGTCATACAGAGGATAGATGTAAGTTTAAAAATGGCACTTGGTCTCCCAACAACTCAGGAAGCCAAAATAATCGACAACAACGCGGATCTCAGGGTAATCCTTCTCATGTTGCTAATGTAATAGACACTCATCAATCTAAGAATGAGATTCACTCGCAAGATTCCAATGGTTCACATGGATTTTCAGCAGAACAACTCCAACAGATTGCTCAGGCAGTAAGTTTGTTCACGCAAAAGAATAATTCTGCCGGTAATAGCGATGCCTATGCAAATGCAGCAGGTCTATCTCTTTTTCATAATGTTTCAATTAATTCTGCATTCACTAGGCCATGGATCTTGGACAGCGGAGCAACTGATCACATTACTTCCGATTCCACATTCTTTACTCAAACAAAATCTCCATCTATACCCATTGTCAATTTACCCAATGGGTCACCTGTATCAATTCATTCCACTGGAACAATACCTTTTAACTCAGATATTACCTTAAACAATGTTTTACATGTTCCCTCTTTTCGATTAAATTTAATGTCTGTTAGCAAACTCACTAATGACTTAAATTGTTGTGCCCTTATGTTTCCCACTTTTTTTGTATTACAGGACTTGGCTACGGGGAAGATGATTGGCTCGGGTAAACATCATGCTGGTCTTTATTACATGTCATCAGTACAGAAACCACCCATTTCTCATTAAGTTTCACAACCAAAAGATTTATGGCACATGCGTCTAGGACACCCATCACCTTCTCGCCTTAGATTAATTGCTCCATTATTACCTTTTCGTAATGTTTCCTTTGATAATAATTGTGATGTTTGTCCTCTGGCTAAACAGACACGTCTTGCATTTCCGTTAAGTAACATATCTACTCATTCTCCATTTGACTTATTACATTGCGATGTTTGGGGTCCACATCGAGTACCTACTGATTCAGGGGCTCGTTTCTTTCTTACTATCGTAGATGATTTTACAAGATGTACTTGGTTATTTTTTATGAAATACAAGTCTGAAACTTCTCATATTTTGCAATCCTTTATATCATTTACTAAAAACCAATTCCATGCCTCAATTAAGAAAATTAGGACAGACAATGGAAAAGAATTTGAACCAATGAAATCATTTTTTCACTCTCATGGAATTAAATACCAACGAACTTGTGTTTTCACTCCACAACAAAATGGGGTAGTTGAACGCAAACATCGTCATATTTTAAATGTTGCACCAGCTTTACGTTTTCAAGCTCACTTGCCAATCACCTTTTGGGGTGAATGTGTTTTGACTGCTGTCTATATTATTAACCGATTACCAACTCCATTGTTACATTCTAAGTCTCCTTATGAATTGCTATATCATAAACCACCATCCCTTAGTCACCTAAAAGTTTTTGGTTGTTAGTGTTATGCTACTGTTGTTAAACATAAACAAAAGTTTGATTCTCGAGCCAAACGCTCCATCTTTGTTGGTTATCCTACTGGTCAAAAAGGCTATAAGCTTTATGATCTGGAAACCAAACGATTTTTTGTAAGTCGTGATATCAAATTTTCTGAAACAATCTTCCCTTTTAGTTCAGTTACACCAACTTCGACCTCATTCTCACCTCAATCCTCTTCTAGTATATTTGACAATTGGTCCTCTCCATCATCTGTCATAAAAGATGTCTCATCTCCTCAACCACAATCTATCCGGAGAGTAGAATCTCATGAACCCAGAATTATAGAGGACGTCTTTAGAAAATATAACAGATGATAATCTTGCCAATCCCAACCAACTCGTTCAAAATCCGACGTCTGATGAAACTCTTGAATCTATTCCAGTCATTTCGGAGGTTGTGGTTCCTTCATCTCCTCTTTTAAGACAATCTGCTCGTCTAAAAAAAACTTCTGAATGGCATAAAGACTACATATTGCCAGCTCAAGCCAATCAATCTTCTGCTATGCCAAGTCCAACATCAGGTACTCGATATCCTCTTTCTCATTATCTTTCTTACTCTCGCATATCTTCAGCACATTGCATTTTCCTAGCTAACATTACAAGTCACACAAAACCTTCATCATATGCTCAGGTTGTTCTTGATCCACATTGGCGACAAGCCATGAATGCTGAATTAGAAGCATTAAAAGATAACAAGACTTGGAGCTTAGTTCCACTCCCTGTTGGTCAGAAACCCATTGAATGCAAATGGGTTTATAAAATAAAATACAAATCAGATGGAACGATTGAGCGTTATAAGGCTCGTCTTGTCGCAAAGGGATATACTCAGATTGAGGGAGTCGACTATCAAGAAACTTTTTCTCCAA